CCCCCCCCCATCTCCCCTCGCTTACGCCAATTGTTTCCTGTAATTTTACCTGTTTTTACTTTGGTCGAATTTACAGGCTGTCGTGGCGGAGCGGCTCTCTTAATATCCCTACATTTTGAAAAGGAAATGTTGTGGCTACCTTGCCACCATCATGTGTTTGAGAGGGTTCAGGGAGATGTTTTCCACACGGTCATGGGGCCGTCAACTCTCCCGGAACCGACAGTGTTCAAGAGTCTCCAAACAGCGTGGGTGACGTTGAAAAAAGAAACGTACTGCACTTACATAGATTATGCAGTGTCTCGCAACGCCCTTGGTCCCTGCGCTGATGACATCATAAAATTTGCAACGTCTCAAATTGAAGTACCGTATAAATACAATGTTAAGGAGCTAATTAAAATTTGTCCTAATAATTTCCGAAACAAAACAAGAAACTCATGTGGACTATTTCGCAGATCGGGACACCACACAGAGATTACCTAGAACTTCTTGAGGTTTCGATCATGTATCTGGGAGGCGTTTCACCTAAAGGCCTGCGCTTTCATCCACCCGGGCCGATCCACAGCACTCGCTGGATGGCGAAGGCTATGTACTCCATTAAAATGACAATGTTCAGAAAGCAGCTGCGCTTGGAGACGGCGCGGCGGTCGCCAATGGACTCATGAAAGCGTCTATTTTTGTTGTGAGGAACTATATTCAAGTGTGGTTTACCGCCACCCTGTCCGTGGAGGGCCCTCGCCGCGACCTGCAGTTCCTAAAAGATCTTACAGCGTATGAGCGAATCAACAAAGCAGTGGCACAGGCAGCGCAGGTCCGGTTCCTTACCCATCTCTGGTACTTGAGTGAACAGAATATGGGATTCGCTGTCTTTGAGGAACAGTCAAGCGACCATGAATGTCAACAGCTCGCAGAGAACATTTTGCACAAGGAAGGGGAAGAGGACCCGCCCAAAACACGATGCCTGCAACTGAGTGACGTCCCTAAAATCACGCTTAGTGACTTGGCTACTACTTACACCCAAACCTTTTTCACTATTCTAGGGTTAAAATGTGAATTTCTGGGAAGGCCAGTTCAAGAATGGGGCGCCAGAGAGGACTACCAACCTGCAAGAGAAATAGCTAGGGGTTTGCATATTGTTTATGACCACGGTGAACGCGGTGTGAAATTAATGAATCATTATGGGGGGCGTGCCACAAAGAAAGAGGAGTCTTTTCAAGATTTAATTGCTCACTGTCACAGGTAATCTGTGCCTTATGTCAAGAAAGAAACTTTGGCTAAAAAGTACGAGGTGTAAAATAAAAAGACCAGTTAGTTAACCTTTCCTCTTTTTGAAATAAATTAAACAGTATTAAAGTATAGTCAATTCTCGTTAGTGCGACGCCCGGATACAACGATTACCCCGTTTTAACGATTTTTTTCCGTTGTCCCATGTCATTTGCATGCTTTTGTATGCTAAAAATCCCGTGTATAGCGAATCCCGTTTATAACGAAAAACCCCTTAGAACGACGGGTTTGGGGCGTCCCTAGCGAAAATTTTTACCGGATTTTTAAAACGTCATTTTGGGGACCTGTGGTTTTTGATTTTTTTAAAATCCAATTTTTGAGCTAGAATGCTCTTCTTCGAACTTGATCTGTCTTTTTATGATACAAAACGACCCTGAAAATCCCAGGTCGCTATCTCAATTCGTTCTCGAGTTATCGTGATGACAGAAAGACACACACAGACAGACACACAGACAGACAGACGCGAAACTTTTTGATCATCACTGGAGTAATAGGCTTCGCTATCGCTCAGCCAATAACATGACCTAAACTTAAGTTTTAGTAAAGAAGTCACTTATTTTGGACTGTTTCCTATTCTGACTAGAGAGGCTTATGGCCATATTTTCTAGTTTAGAAACCATTGCAAAAACTTCAGGATCCACTCCAGGCAGCTGTGTCATAAATTTTCTAACAACTGAGAGTGCTTCAAGTCCCACTGCTTGGGTAATAACTTCCTGTTCAACACCGTCTTCAGCAATGGTCTCGTCGTCATTAGGGTCAACGTCTTCTTCATCGGGAAGCTTGTTCAAGAATTCCTCATCCGTCAGTTCCTCGCAGATGGGTACGTCGTCGTCCATGCACACGAACTCTTCTATAGTGGCATCCTTGGCCCCCATCGCCTGGGTGACACGCCTCCAGCTGCAAGGGAAAGGGGGTGTTAGGTTGGCCGCTGAAAGCATGAAAATGTATCGCATTGCAAATCGATATAACTAGCCATCATCGTCGTCAGAATCGTCGTCACCCTGGGCACCTCGTCGCCGACCTCGTCGCCGACCTCGTCGCCGACCTCGTCGCCGACCTCGTCGCCGACCTCGTCGCCGACCTCGTCGCCGACCTCGTCGCCGACCTCG